AGTGAGTGCCTCCTGTGCCGCCTCACTTTCCTGAAAGATTTCAATTTTTCTTCCATCAATTCTTGGTGCCTTGTTCTTTGCCACTTCTTTCAATGCACTTTGGACTTCCTCTCTGAGTATCATTGGCTCTTGTTCATCTTAGCAGTATTGATAAATTTGTCTTCAAGCTCATTGGTTCTGGTATCCATCTCTTCAATTCTACTCCCTTGTCCTTTCAGTTTATTTGTCCATTTCTGATATTTTATTAATCATTTTTACCTCTCTTTGCAGATTTCGAATTGTTTCCAATGCAATTTCTATCTTATTTTATTGTTCCTGTAGCATTTCCTTATTTTTATCAACCCTTCTGTGGAGCATTTGGATGCACCTCAATATCATTCTCCTGAATTCCTTACCAGGCATTTCCAAATTCTGCCCCTCTTCTTATGCGAAGTCTACGTCTACCTCCAGCTCATTTGTTTCAGCTACTGTGTCTTGTTTCTGGATGTAACCTGAGATCTTCTGGGTTTGTTTGTTTTGGCATTTTCAATAATTAGATGTATTTTCAGTAATTAGATGAACGTATGTTGGTTTACAAAGGAGCTCTGGTAGCGTAGTGGTTACGAATCGGGCTGCGAATCTTAAGGTCAGCGGTTCGAAACTAACAGCCGCTCCGCAGGAGAAAGATGAGGCTTTCTACTCCTGTAAAGATTTACACCCTCGGAAACCCTGTACAGGGTCACTATGGGTCGGAACCGACTCGATGGCACTTAACAACAACAACAACAATGTTGATTTACTATTAAGCTGATTGCCTACTGATATGTGTGATCAGGAGATGGCTTTCCTTTTCATTTCTCTTATTACTCAACACAGAGTAATTTTAGGTAGTTTTGGCTATCTGGTATAAAGCAGCTGTCTCTTGACTGAACAATAGGATTGTACAGCGTGCAATTGTAGCTTGGATATGACTGCAATTGCTGTGTCTTCTTGAGTAAAGTAGGGAGAGAAAGAGCTCCCCACCCCTATGGTAAAGGGGGACCAAAATAAATAGAAAATAGAAAACAAAAACATATTGGACACTATAGTCTATAACACACACACACACACACAAAGCCCATAGCAAAATACTTTACTGCCCCTTTTGGCTTCTTGCCTTCAAGGTTGCCTGAGAAATTTCAAGATATTACCATTGCTTCTTATGAAATAACTCAAGGTTTAATTATCGGCTTCTTTACCCTTTTGTCTGTCTCTCTCACCTGTTCTCAATACCGTTCAAATGTTTCTCCTAGTGAGAAACAGCCCAGGATTGGCCATAAACATTCTTGAAAACCCTTTCATTTTATGCTGGTTCTGTTGACTCCTCCCCTTTCTTCAATTCTAGACCCAGTGGTCTTTGCTGAGCAGATCTGGGTGCATGCATAGTAGAGCCCTCCAGGGGTTTGGTGTGCCCACTCACTCAGCTACTCCCTCTAGTTCCAGACAGAGAAAGATAAATGAACAGAAAGAAATGTTCATACCTTTATCTCCGAGGATCAGCCAAACCTTTGTGGTGGCTGCACTCTCTTGATCCTTCACCTGTTCTGTCATGCCCAAGATGGCTGCTCTGGGACCCACCAGCAGTCACAGATCAGGTAACACCACTTTTCTTATTTCTACTGCATATCCCACCAAAATAAAGCCTTTGATCCTTCTAAATATTCCTTTATATGTAGTTCAGAGTTCCAGGACAGTCCCCTGAAACTTCTTGGTCTGGTATTCTGTATTATTACTGGTGGAGTTCTGCATGGTGCTTCTCCCTAGTCTGCCATTAAGCTATGCCTCTAAAATTGTTCTTATGCACAGTTCCTACTGAAGATAAAGGTTCTGGTAGTCAAGTCCATACCATATGACTAAAATGTGTTTTCTACACATTATGAGAACACATTTTCACATCTTATTCAAGGAG